TGTATATTGTTACATGCTTTTATAAATCTATATAATACTTTTATGATACAATTAGTAAATAAAACAAAGTAAATACAATTAGCTAAATAAAAATACATTATCCCTTATCCTTATTAATATCTTCATTTGGCTGTTGATCATTATTGTCATCAGAATGGTATGACTATGATATTGACCAATTGGTATTTCTTCTGACGATTTTAATTTATCAAACTATGTTTCATCTTGATACCAGTGATAATATATAATTTTTATATGGCTGATATTCTCACCAACTCAGTCAGCTAAACGAAGTAAATCATGTATCTATTAAAATAAAAAAAGAAACAGTAAATAAATATATAATATGTATTGCTTTATTTAATATTTAAATACTTACATGATATAATCTTCAAGATTTATCGTAAATATGAAGAATGTGTTTGTCTACTTCATTTTTATTTTTGGGCCAAATATGTTCTTCGATTTCTTTTTTTGTTAGTTTCTCATCAGTTTTAGAAATTTCGTCACTATGAAATTCACCTTCATTCATCAAGGTTTCACAATCCTCCTTAAACTCGTCCTAAGTTAGAAATATCAGTTAAAGATCTTTAAGTGAAGAATCGTTGATGTTGAACATATAAACGATGCCTTCTGATGTCATTATTTTTTCTATTGTCGATAAAAATTAAGGATTATTCAACAATCAATATTACAAGATCTCTTGATACTTACATTCATTCTTTGAGAATTTGTTCCTTTTCTTCTCCTCTGATTTAACTTTATATAGGTCAAGACTAATCTTCCAAAATTCTCTATAGTGACAGTGTAGACTTTGTAAAACCCATTTTAATTCTACATCTTTATACTGAAATCTTCCAGTCAAAGCTTTGTCGATTTTCTTCATTGTATATTTCAAAATATGATGTACAATTTCTGTCTATTTTTTAGTGTGATTCAGTTGCAACAAATTATTAAGACCATTAAGAATTTGTATTACTTCATCCTTAATTTGATAAAATAAAAAAAAATAAAACAGTTAATAAATTTTAAAATAATTAATATTTATTTGACGCTTACACAGAATAACTTATATTGATCTTTATCTATATCATCAAGTACAATCCGATATCAATGATACCCAGTTTCCAGTTCTGGCGTGAGTGAGGCATCTCTTTGTATTTGATCCTTTGGAGCTAAGGCTGATGACTTGTGAGGAGTTGATGATTCATTTCTTAA